TAAGGATTTAGTCATGTACAACCCATTGAGTTTCATCCACACACCATCATCGTCTTCTTCTTTGAGACCTTCCAGAGAACCTTATCACCAAGGCTCAATATGATGGTGTTTTGGGCTTTCTCGATCATCGTCGTCTTCTCCTTATCTTCTAATGTAACATTCATGGTTGCGGATCCCTTAAACGCTTCTAGAAAACCATAGTGAACTAGTAGGGCTTGCATCTTCAAGTGCCACAAACTGAAATTGAAGGTAAAGGAAACACAAGAAAGGGGGAGTTGAATTGTGTTTCTAGAATGAAACTTTTTCGCTACCCAATGCAACAAACAAAGAACATAGAATAAAAATAATGAACACAATATTTTATACTAGTTCACTGTTAATTAAGCTACTTCCAATCTACCCACCAAGGTGATTTCGATTTCTCACAAGGACTTAGTCCAATATAACCAAAATGATTACAACTACAAAGACTTATTGTCAATGTCTTATTGAGAAATTCTGACTATACCTTAGTCTCTCAAGGAATAACAACTCAAAAGTTGAGATACAATGGTATGTTTACAAAGATGCTTTTATAACGCAAATTACACAAATGAAATACAAAGATTAGCCCAAAAGTGTTTAAGAGCAAGTGTATGAACAAAAGTTCCTTGCTTGATGCTTTTTTTCATCTCACAAATTTGTAATATTCACGTTCAAGATCTTCAGAAAATTCGTTCAAATTCATTGTAATCCATGTTACTGTACCATTCTTCAAGTCTTCTTTATATCAGTAAAGAAATATATGTTGAAGGGCGAAGATAGAATTCCACAAATGCGTAACTATATCCTTGCATAATGGTCAACATGAGTGGGAGACAAATAGGTTAAATAATACAGTCCTTTCTCCATAAAATTAGTGTAGTGGAAGGAATATTTGATCTTGTACTGTATACTATTTTCTCACTTAAAACCTATTGATCTTATCTTTTAATCTTTAGATGCTTCATAATGTGTGTAGATGAAGCATGCTTAGAAGGATAAAAAATTGTAAGAGAGTCTTCAGAACCTTGGTTTTCAGAAGTCTTCAGAACTTGTCTTCAGAATGTTCAGAACTTATTCTTCAGAGTCTTTAGAACTTGGTCTTCAGAGTTTATGGAGTGCAGAATATCTGAGTTTGAAAAACTTTAGAAGCTCCTTTATTATAGTTAGATTCAGAAGCCATTTGATGATCAATCTTTCATAAGTGTTGTCAAAGAGCATTCCAAAACTTGAATTTTCCTTATAAAGCACACTTTGTATATCCTCAGAGTTAGAGTGTGTTGAGTTCAAAAACTAATGACGTCACACGTCACTTCTCCAGAGTCAGAACCTGTTAGAATTCAGCTACACACTAGACAAAACTATTAGGGTACACAAATTTTCTCTAAGGAAGAATTTGTTATCATCAAAATATAAGGCTAGATGCATAACCAAATCTTGTTCTTACATAAATCATTCACACTATTGAATTTCTCAATCTTATATTTCGTTGACGACATCTTCTTTTGCACACTCACTGCACCAGTTTGTTGTAACAGAGTATCGTCAAGAACAAACCAAAACTATGAGAAATATTGAGTTTCTTGAACAAACACAAGAAACCCTATTAGATTTTCACAAAAGAGAGAGAGATAAGATGGAAGAAGAAGAAAATGAGGATCGATTATAACTATTTTTCTTTTCACTTTCTCTATTAGGATTTATATATTACAAGTGAATAACAATAATTAACCTCTCTTAACAACCTGAGAGAATTGGTTTATTTATAGACTACTAATATAACTTAAGCTACAATCTAACTTAAACAATTAGGCTAAACAAACATGCCCAATTCAATATCCTAACAGTCATATCATTTCAGCTACTGTATGCTTGAGCATACTTCGACTACATCATGCAGGACTTCGACATGATTATGTGAATATACTTTGACACCATACTTAACTTCTTTCGAACCATGAAACTATTCCTGTCAGACCATAGTTTGATCCAATATATCACATGACTGATTTTAGAATAAAGAAGTATCCAATATACAGTTGTGTTAATAGCATCATGGGAAGATTATATATACTTTATGAAAATAAGGGGAACAATTGATTAAGAAGTACCAAAAATACAACTATAATGTATGTTTGTATTGGAACACCTACCCATACAATTGTTGACATACTCATACATATCTTTTGTTTATAAAAAAAATTCTCTTTCAAAGTCTAGTAGTGTAGCTTTTCTATCTTCATTCTTGGCTATTCATATATTCTCTAGGAAAGTTTGCATCATAGACTTATATCAGAGTATTAGCATCATGAAGACTCCCACTAATAATACCATAAGCATGATGTGATAATTCAAGACAAATACAGTGTTGATTTCATAGTCAAATATGATGCCTCTTCTAAAACCGACAAGATGATTCACATTTCTACTCCTCTAAAGTTGAGCCACATTCTCAAAATTGATGTTGTGTGAACTTTTCTTTCACTATTAGAAAAAACTCATTTAATTTCGATTGTATATGAGGTATAACTTTGGTTTCATAGACGAGGTAACGAAAGACGTCATAAAAAATGTGTCAATTTTGCTCTCAGTTTTAACTCTACCGAAAAAAAGATTGCACTTGTAGTGGCTTTCATCCCTAGCAAGTGTTAATTTATTTTATTTAAAGACACTACTTTGTTTATCAGTTATTAGAATAATTGAAGGAATATATATATATATATATATATATATATATATATATATATATATATATATATATATATATATATATATATATATATATATATATATATATTATTTATTAATATACAAAGTTTAGTATTTTACATTGTTTTCGTTTCAATTTACAAGTAAAAATATATAACAAACTTTTAATTGAATTCATCATCATCACTATAAGTGAAGATCAAATGATGGATCTAATTTCACTTAATCTTGAGGAAGAATAAATATTGGATATTATATGTATTTATTTCTGATATAAACAAAAAAAAATTAGATAAATAAAACAAATATTCAGTTATATTATAAAAGATTATGTAAGAAATTCAACCTTGAACCAAAATATTTTTTTGTTCTTGCAAATTATCATAGAGAATTTTTCTAAGCTTCTTTAGTTTTCATTGTTTTCATGATGAAAATGTTTTAGTTTGACAACGAATCATCCTAGATATATAATGGCGGTGTTCGCGTTCTGATTAGATGTAGAGGGTTTCTTGTAGATTGATTTGTTGAAAATATTTTAAGCGTTGTTACTTTATAAATGGATGACAAAGATATTTTGAGATAAAACTGACTTATTTTTATCCATAATTTTGCCTTAAAACCCTCAGAAAATGTTAGTTCTTTTTTAAATGAAAATAAACTAAATATGGATGCTTCTCCTCAGTTTCTAGCCCAACTGAAGTAACAGATTACATTGCAGAAAATTATTGAATGGAAAAAAATGAAAAGAAAAAAAAAGTATTGTTTTCTTTTTCAATTTTTTACCATTCAACAATTTTTTTGGTGTTGCAATAATCAAACAAAAGACTATATTCAAAACAAATTGGAGTATTATTAGGAATAAATTTTTCAATATTGTTAATCTAAGAAAGCAATATATTATAAAATGTTTTCTTTGATTGATAACAACAACACAACAACACAACAACAAAAATAACACCATTATGTGAGATAGATTGCAAGAACAGACAAATAATTTGGGAAATGTTGGTGTTAAAAGAACAATAATACAAAACCAAATAATTTTTCTGTCTAGCAATCCATCCCAAGAATGATGTTTATTATAACACCCCAGATTTTTATCCAAGACATGACTCATAAATTATTAAAAAATACATGTTTAAGAAATAAAATACAAGATTTTGAAACTTACCAAACTCTGTGACAATTCAAATTCATAAACAGAAAATCACCGCATTCATAATTCATTCGAAAGATAATAAATAAATAACTTAAAATATAATATGCGATCAATTTCTAAACTACTGAAATATTTTTATTTTGAAAACGACTTCTTCCCCACGATCGTGCAACAAACAAACATCAATCAATCTTGAAACTCCACATTTGTATCTAAAATGTTGTTGTAAGGGGTCAGTTATCCATGTCAAACTAAATTAAACGGGTGTTAAAAATCAGACAACTATAAATATACATATTATTTCCAAGAGAATTAAATAAAGGTACTCACCAAAATTATTAATAATAGAACCATAAGCTTAAAATGTAATATATGTAAGAGTTAATCAGAATTATCAACAATCAATCTTATGTCGTTCATATGGAGAATATGCATGCTCTTAAACTATATGATCTGGATATAGTCAGTCCTCCAATAAGGCACCTCACAGAATTCATCCCATATCAATGGGAAAATAACTCACCAAAAAGACACCACACATAAATGCATGTGATGTCATGCAAGATGAAAAATAAAATAGAATCAGCGCCACTAAGACAACCACACAAAATTTTTACTCGCCATAAAGGCAACCACAAGATGAATATGTCATGACATGCATGATGCAAAATAAAAATAAAATCACTCGCCACTGAGACAACCACATACATAATAATATTTATTTCTCTTCATCTTTAAAACACAATCTAAAATATAAAAGAAATAGAGGTTATAAAATAATTTTCCACAAAAACTATATCAGTATGCTAGTAAAATTTAATGTGTTTAAATATGTGACAGTGACAGAAAATTAAATTTATTGTTTTGTAGCATTCCAATAAAGTCACTCCATGTATATTATATCTTCCAGTATTAGACATCGACTCAAATAAATTTTAATATTACCTATTTACTTGATGACAGATAGCACCTGAGACCAAATAGCTTTCATATTAGGACAAATGAAACAAAGATGTTGAAGAGTCTACACTTGATTGCAAAAAATACAGATGTTGTTCCCATCCATCTCAAACCGATACAACCATTCTTTTGTGGCAAGCCATCCATAAAATTAAGAGATCCATGGGCCTGGTGGTATTAGAATAAAATAGCTTCTCCATTGAACCTCCTGCTGATTCATAAAAATCTCCTTATACATTAACTTGGCAATGAATCTATCCTGCTGCAGCATCGAATTCCAAAGCATATTTTGACCGATCCCTTCTCTCTGATCCAGGATGGCTTTAAGGATCCAAGAGCATGAGGTTTTGACGGGCATAGTCAGAATATAATTGCCCTTCGTATAATAATAGTGTACCCACCTAACCCATAGGATGTCAGCCTTGCCAGCAAGGTTCCATAGAAGCTTCAATAGGTTGGCATTATTCCAAGACTGCGGGGAGATAATGTTTAACCCACCCTACTTTTTGGGAGAGCAAACCTTCTGCCACGATATAGAAGATTTCCTATAAACAATTTCAGATCCAAACCAAAGAAAGGACCTACACATAACTCCAATTTCTTTTATAACTTTCTTAGGGATGGGGATGCATTGCATCCATTAGTTCACAATAGAAAACAAAACATTTTTTATAAGTTGACATCTACCAGCAAAACTAAGCAATCTAGCATACCAATGCCCAATTCTAACTACAATTTTGTCAACAAAGATCATACATCGGTTATTAGAGAGCTTCTTGCTAGAGAGATGGGTGCCTAAGTATCTAAAAGGTAATGTTCCAGAAGGAAAGGTAGTAGCAGCCTGAATTACCTATTGCTCAGCAGTGGGCATATTCCCATAGCAAAATTTACATTTATTAGGGTTAATATCCTAACATGTGGAAAAAGAGAATTTCTTAAAACACTACAAGGCTATATGAATAGATCCAATCTCCCCTCTTATGAATATGAGCAAATCATCAGCAAAACTCAAGTTGATTGCATTGAGTTTCTCACATTTGGAATGAAATTTGAAGTTGTTATTTTCCCTCGGTTGTTTCATCACTCTGTGTAAGTATTCCATCACAATAACAAACAACAAGGGTGACAGAGGGTCCCCTTGTCTGAGGCCTCTCTTTGCCTTGAGAATTTGGGTATGCACCCCATTAACTTTGTAACTAATGTTATAATCAATATCACTTAAACTGCCTTTCTCACCATCACTTCCAACATATTCATCATCATCATCACCAGAATTCTTATCGGCATCCCTTCCACTTTGAACATCAGTATCATCATGTTTGTTCCCACCTTGAACTTCAGCGTCAACATGTTCACTTACAACTTCAACTTCGGTATCATCATGTTCACTTATAACTTCAACATCAATATTCTCATCATAATCATGTAATAATTCTGACTCATCTATAACTTCAGAACTACCAATTGAGTGATCTACATACACATCTACCAAGTCAAATCCTTTCACATCTTCAGCAAACTTAAGTACTTCATCATCATAATTTAAGGGTCTAAGGACACAAGAAAAACCATACCTAGGGTTCCAATACCACACATACTTGATATCCCTATACACCTAATTTCTTATCAAATCTTCCAACTGCATATACGACATATAATCCACATCCCAAAACCAATTCATTTAGATACTTATCCATTAATGTACCATTTAACATAATTCTCTACTAATTCTCCCATATGATGAATTCTTAACCAAATGAATTTAGTCTGAGCTGGTCTGAATAACAAAGTAGAGTTTACAATCAGAATACACATTAAAACAACCATAAATTGAAACAATGAAACTCTAACCCCCAGAAATTGATTCATAACACGTTGAATTAATTTCACAATTAAACAAAAAATCCAAAAACATACCTCACATAAATTTCAAAATTAAACCTTAAACCCTAGCAAACAGATTAACATTCACAATTAAACCTTAAACTCAAAAATTGAAACATACCCAAAGCAAAATTTCATATCCTCTTTGATTTTCTATGATGGGGGAATGTCACTCATCGTATGCTCCTTGATCTTCGTTTTTTACCTTCGTAACTTATGAGAACAAGAAATGGTGATGTAGATGAACAAAGGACGCAGATGAACAAAGGTGAGACTTACGGTTTTTGTATTGTATTTAGGGGACGAAATAAGAATTTCAATTTTTATAACATTTTGCATTTTTATTTGATTAAAACCTATTTCAAAAACAAATTGGAAAGGGACTAAAAATCCCAGAAAAAGTTTACTATAGGGACTAAAAAGCTGAATTTTTTAAAAGGGGACTAAAAGTTCAAAATAAAGTAAATAAAAAGACTAAAAATGCATTGGAGCTTATATTTAATTAACTTTTTATTAAAATTGTTTTTAAAAATTAAACTAAACATTCAATTAAGTTGATCAACCATGAAGAACTACATGATTCTATGATTCTTTAATTTATCATTTTTCTGCTGTTAAACTCGGCCGAAACGGTCGAGAACACGACACAGAACGACACAGTGGAGGAAAACGCATCATCCTGGGTCAGAATGGCGCGAACAGGTGACGTAGTTGGAGCGGTCGGCAAATCGCAAATGGAACCGGCGCGGAACGGTGGTGAAACAACCTGGAACGGTCGTTGTTCCGGTGTATACTCTTTTTATAGTTGGAAGGGACAAATTTGTCTTTTTCAACTTTTAAAAAACCCTAAAAAAATTCATTTTCCATATTTCTTTTATTAACCCTCTCTCTTTCTTTATTGCACCATTTAAAAATAATTTTCTCTCTACTCTAACGTACAACACTTCTTTTCTCTCTTCTCTCACTTTGGCCGCCTTCCCTTCTTTCTTCTCTCAACGACGCTCACTTCTCTCTTTCACGGGTTCTATTTTTTTCTTCCTTCTTCCTTTCTTCTCTCTTATCTCTTCTATTTTATTTCTTTCTTTGGTCATTGTTCATCAATATTGTTGTTTTACTATTTTATTGTTTTATTATTTATTTATTTTTCTTTACTTCTCCAATTTTTTGGACAGCTAGGACTACACCTCCTAATTCCCAACCATCGAGATGGAATAATTTAGAGTATAAGACATTTCAAGATTTGGTTTTCATCAAGTATAACTTAACTTGTAAATAACACTAAGAAAATGATGATGTGATTGATCTTATAGTTATAGATGATATTTATACTAATAATGAATGGTTATTGGAAGATGAAGTTGATGAAGATGAAGCTCAATCAGATTTAACTTGTAAATAACACTAAGAAAGTGATGATGTGATTGATCCTATAGTTATGTGTAGCGGTAGAAATATTTAAGACTAAACCATTGGATTGACTTGACTTATACAGATCAAAATAAAAATCGTCACCGTACTTTATTGTTTCTAAAGGAATGGGAAAAGAGCGAATAACCCAAAAGAGGGGGGATGATTTAAGGTAAGGGGGTTGGTTATGCAAAGGAAAGGTATTATCACCCTAAACATCTACGGTATTCCGCATGAACCTCTTTGTAAAAAATCTGTATATTTTGGCTATAAAAATGTTGTATGTAAAATTGGATGGTGAAGGTGGGAAAAGAAATATGTTTCTTATGATTTTTGCACCCGCCGCGGTTATGAACCTTTAGTGCCTACGTACCACCTTTCGTGCAATAGGGGATCAGGGTACACGTAGTTCCTCTTTTTTAAAAAAATTTAAAACACAAGTGTGTTGGTTATTTTATGAGATAAGACGTCACCGTCATTGTCCGTGTGGAAAACATACTTACTACCCACAATCATGAGAAAATAGAATTTGCATCATCTCAAAGTAGAGGATATGACTTGGATTTTAAAATCAACAATTCCTCACTCGACACCCAAGTGGAAAATATCTCTCTTCACTGCACATTGTAGAAGTATAGTTGTTTGCATCACTACAAGGATTGACAAGAGTCTAATCATTTGGGAAAAGTTTTAAGATAAAAGACAAAATGGCAAAAATGGTTTGAAATGAGATTGATTGACTTTTAGTCTTCTCACAAAAAGGTCAAGGTACTATTAGATTGATTACGGTTTATTTATGAAATTTTTTTGAAAATGCATGGACCTAAGTCCAAGTTTATTATGAAAGTGGTTCAAGTTAAAAAACAAGAAGAGTTTTCAAAAGGAGGAAGAAGATTTCTGAAATTAAAGAAGATGGGAGGAAAAGAAGAGACCGTCCTAAAGCATAAGGTAAATGCTAGAGATAAGAACGATCTAACCAACAAGAAGACAATACTTGACATTATGAGCTAAAATAGAATTCTCATTATTTGGATTGAAGCCAAGCAAACAAAGATACTAGACCTCTTGTAAGAACCAAACTTCAATTGTATTAAATCTTCACAAAACTTGGGAAGAGTAACGGCTGTATATGGGTGAATTCCAGATTACAAACAAGGAGTGTAATCACAATAACCTGCACACAAAACAAACAACTCAATGTCTTGAGGTAAACCTTAAGAGCTCCAGACAAATATCAATTAAGGTCACAAGGTCTCCAACATAGACCAAGGTTTCTAATCCTAAGTCCAAGAAGTCTAATGTTCCATAATGCCAAGGATAGTAACCAAATAGTTCAAGCTTCATTAAGGATTTTATGGTCCATATTGATTATTAAGTATCTTAAGAAAAGAAAAGAAAATCTCAAGTGAGCAAAATAAAAAGGACAAGAAAGTAAATGCTCAAATGAGCAAAGATGAAAGTGGCATGAAATATAAATGCTAAAAGTAAATAGTGCATAAAAATAAAAGGGCATATAATAAAAATACAAGATAAAGTCAATTATTAATGATTAGTGGTTAGTTGAATGATCATCTTGAAACTTGCATTTGGAACTTGTTAGAGGATTGGTAGAACCAAAGCCTCCACACAACAAGTTGCATTTTCTTTTTGTCAAGTATATCATCCATTTGGAATCCTCATAAGTACCATTTAATGATCAACGATGTTTAAGTGATCCGTGTTGACCAAAGGTGTTGTAGATCCATTAGAGGATTGATAGAACCAAAGCCTCCACACAATGGATCTCAAGATTATTGGATCAAAGAGATCAAATTAACATACTTGGGATTGCAAATATAAGTTTGGGCCACAAATGATCATTTATTCGAATCGGAACAAAATTTAGGGCTTTGTTAAGCAATCATAAGTGGACTTATATAGAAGTCGCACCTATTTTGAGACCGGTCAATAGCAATCTATGCACCATTTTTTTGAGACATGATATAGATATCATGCTCCAATAACACTTAGTGCAATAAGAAGGGGATGAGATGACGTGGGGTGGGAGAGAAAATATAAACCACTTTTGAATTAAATTTAATCAAACTATTATTAAAATCATTCATCCATTATTGTGGAGTTAAACTCAACACCATGGATCCAATGATGTTAATAAAGCTCATGATCAAAAATTTAACCCAAGATCAACCAGAAAATAATCACAAAATAATATTGTATTTAATATATACATTAAAAAAAGGGTTTAAAAATGTTTAAAAATATAAATAAAAAAATATCAACTATGTTCCAATTAATCAAGAAATAAAAAGTAAGACCATAGAAAAATCAGAAAAGGGCTCAAATGATTTTATAATCTTTTTGGTAATTTTTTAAAGTCAGAAATTATTTTTAAAATTAAAAGAAATGGGTAAAATAAACCAAAAATGATATAAAAAATAGCAACGTCAGAAACAAAAATAAAATAAGGTTACCAATATTTGTCACAATATCATTGGATCATTCCATAATTTTTTCAGAATTTAAAAATGCATAAAAGTTGATCTAACCTGATCAGACTTGGACCGTCACGGCTGGCTCCGAGCTGAAGTTTTGAACGAGGTGGGGGGGGTACCTGCAAGGCACTCCGATGCTGAAGTAAGTAAGAGCACGAGCAGGCAAGAGTATGAGTATGGGTAAAAGAATGAATACCTGACCCTCTGGGAACGGAGGGTATTTATAGCCCCCAGCACTGGGCCAAGGTTCCTTCATTGGGCCGGGCAAGTTTGGCCCAATGGAGGAACTGCCAGGTTCTACGTGTGTAGTGGGGACCCGCACGTGGTCCCCTTCCTAGATGTTCTGCGTGAAGTGCGGACGGACAAGGACACGGTCTTTTCGGGATCCAGGTGGTGGTGTAGTGGACAGAGTCTGCCCTAGGAGAAGTGCTCGAGCTGAGGTCGAGCAGGATAGCATGAAGTCGAGGATGTCGCACTGGCATAGAATGTCGGGCACGGCTGTGGCCCTTGGTCGGCGTGATTCCTTGCAAGACCGTTTGGATTGGGCCTTCACCATTGCTTTTGGGCCAGCCCGGCCCAGTCCAGAACAGGAGCCCCCCAAGTCGTGGTTCCTGTAGTAGGAACCATGACTTGATCTTAGGTCGCCTGCGTCACGGGGTCCCGTTCCCGGCTAAAAGATGTAGTTCCCGCGGCTTGCTCGAGGAGTTTTCCCCAGTGTCGGGCCCATGAGATAATTCCGCTCGAGGAGCGCTCGGGGACTCTCGACGGGCTGTGTTCGTTGAGCACATGAGGCATCTCTTGGGAACCGTGCCGCCACCCTACTGACGATAGGGTCATCATTGCCAAGGGGAGCTACACGTCGAGGAGGGAAGTTATGTGGTTCCCCGGGGTGACGTTTCGTATTCCACATCATCACTATAAATAGGGTCCTTCGGCCCCAGAACGTGTTTTTCCTCTTCGCGCCTCTCCTCTTTCCTCTGTTTCTGCTGTTTGTTGTTCTTCCCAGATACTTATAGGACCGCCGTGATCTCCGTCGCTGATTCCCTTTCTCCGTCGTCACATTTCCTTCCTGATTCCAAGTAAGTGTCTTGTCTCCTTTGTTTTTCCTCTATGATGCATGATTTTCATTGTTTTTAGACGCTTAGAGACTGTACGCCTGGGATTAGCCCGGTAGATTTATATTTAGCTCGACAAATCCATGTTTATGCCCGACGAACGCATGTATACGCCCGATAAACG